GTACTATAAACAAATGCAATGTAAAATGTTTTTTGGGAGGAAGTATTGATAAACAGAACTTCAAGAACTATTGTGTAAATTTTATTTTAGAACTATCCTTTACATTATTATGTCTCCCAAAATTTGTTGGAGAAATTGTTTTTGCCTCACCGTCTGTCTGTCCGTCAGCATTGTCCGGCCTTCACAGGTCAAACTACTGGTGGGATTTCGACCAAACTTTAAAGGAGTGATCTGAGTACCATCCCTAGTTGTGCACTTCACCTCATGTTTTGGTTCACTGCACAAAATGGCTGCCAGAGCTAAAAATAGAAAAAAATTGGCTGGCTTTCACAGGTCAAACTACTGGTGGGATTTCAACCAAACTTTACAGGAGTGATCAGTACCATCCCTAGTTGTGCACTTCACCAGCGCTGCATGGCTGCACAAAATGGCCACCAGAGCTAAAAATAGAAAAATCTTGTCCATTCTTCACAGGTTAAACTTCTGGTGGGATTTCAATGTAACTTCACAGGAGTGATCAGTACCATCCCTTGTTATGCACATCACTGGCATGTTCCGCTTCGCTGCACAAAATAGCTGTCAGAGCTTAGAAAAAAGAAAACTCCTGTCCTGCTATCACAGGCTAAGCTGCTGGTGGGAATTCAAGCAAAATTCACTGGAGTGACCATACATAGTTTTGGGAGACATATGTTTTGTGCCAAAAAACAGTCTAGTTTTAAAATGACCAATTAAAACTCTTCTAAAGTGACCAATTAAAACTCTTTTAAAATGACTAATTAAAACTCTTCTTATATTCAGTTTTAATCTCTGTGAATTTTACAGGTCAAGTCCAACTGATTTTAGACTGGCCTTTGACCGGTAAAAGAACAAGTTATGTAACTTTTTTGGCAATTTTAAAAGTCTGTACTGAATCTTATAATGTTTTAATTTAATAATTTTCAAAAACTAAACTGTGCATGATTTAAGTTAGCTACTGAGTAACCAAAATTATTACTTTTCATTAAATATACATCAATCACTTTATAATGATAATAATAATGTAAGAAAATAATTTCATTCATAATATGTAAAGAAACAAGAAACATACAACTTTTCACAAAATTTGTGAACTAAATAATGTGGTTTGTGGTTTGTTCTACTTTACTTTATCCTTAGACAATTTGGTTTCATGCAGATATAGTTATTTGTTTTGTTGATGCATTGTAAGGTGCAAAAAATAGGTGTAAATTTTGAATGAGCGTTGCATGAGATATGATATCAAATTATTCTGGAGGATCATGAAACAAATGAACTGAAACACATGTCAGATACTTTTTATTGCTAAATGGTTAACCTAAATTAATTAATCATGCAATGGCAGCGTCATGGTTTGGGCAGGCATTATGGACAATCAAAGAACACATTAATTTTGGTCATCGTTCCAGGCAACCTTAATGCGGTACTAGGTATGTGAACATCCTTAGGTACAATCTCTTCCATTTATGCAAAAACAGGGTCCAGGAATGATTCTGCAGCCTGACAAGGTGAGGAGGCCCCACACAGCTTGTCTTACAACACAGACTTTGGCTCAGAATGGTGTCACGTCTTGTCGAGGCCGGCGGTGTCGCTTGACCAAATCCCATAGGACACACGTGGCACAAGCTTGGGCATCTTGTACGTAATAATCATCAAATTAACAATTATATTGACCTGAGACATGTCCTCTTTGTTGAATAGCAGAACATACCAATTAAGTAACGTTTGGGCTGTCTCACGTATTCCATGAGAAGGAGAATAGCAACCTACATTAGGGCCAACAGTGGTCACTCAAAACTTAATACACATTGACATTTAGACTGATACTCAAAAAGTCACAAAAACATTTCTTCATTTTTTGGTGATTATTGAAAACCACCCCTATGACTTTTGACCTCAAATTTGAGCTACATTTTTAAGAAACAGGTTATCAACGCTATTACAAATCCAAGTTTCATTTAACATTTACATTTGTACACTATGATTATGTTATAAACATCAGTTTGTTTTTTTGTTAAGTGTAGTACAGCAAAATGATGTCATCCTTACATGTGCAAATAATACTACGTACCATTTCAGTCACACAAAAGTACCATTTCAGTCACACAAAATACATCACAGTTGTAATCTCTGACATCGCTAACACAATCTAATAAATATAGCCCACTATTTTGTCATACATCTTGACAGTACATGTAATTGTTTACCGGTATGTTACAACAAGTTTAAAAATTGAAAGAAATTTGTACTTACATTATAGTATAATGTTGAGTTAAATTCAAAGATTTAGATGAAAAGTTTTTCATTCAGCCATTCATGCAGCTTGGGAAACCGATCTAAATCTGCTAGCTTTTGATTTGGTTAAACTTATGATTGGTTGAATAGCAACAGTGTCCAAGGTTATACTCTCTGTCGTTATAGCGATATATCAAATCTTTATAAACTACTTTAGTAACTAGTGCTTTATGTGTATATATATATATATATGTGCATTCTTCTTTTGAGATAACAATTAAAGATTAGAAGAAAATGGTAAGTCATTGGTATTTTAATCTATTAGGTATTACTTAAACTAAATTCACCATCTGGAAGATGTACATTGAAGATGGAAATGTTTTTGTGTTGTTGTTGTTTTTTGTTTTTATGCCACCGCAGCATCTGCGATGCGGTGGCATATAGCGATTCACCTGTGTGTGTGTGCGTGTGTGTGTGTTTGTGTGTGTGTTATATAGATTATATAGTGAACTTAAAAAATCTTCTTGTGAAAAACCACTAGTCCAATTTCAACCAAACTTGGCAGGATTGTTCCTTGGGTAAAGGGCTTCCAAAGTTGTTCAAAGAATTTCATTCCATGCAGAAATCTGGTTGCCATGGCAACCCAAAAGTAATTAATAAGAATAAATTTAAAAAATCTTCTTGTAAAGACCCCAAAAGGCCTAGAGCTTAGATATTTTGCATAAGGCATTGTCTGGTAGACCTCTAACAAGATTGTTTCAAATTAATAGCCCTGGGGTCAAAATTGGCCCCGCCCCGGGGGTCATTGATTTTCACTATGTACATATAGTAAAAAAAAAAAATCTTAAAATACCTATTCTTGTATAAACCCCCAAAAGGATTAAGCCTTTTGGATATTTTGCAATAAGGCATATCGTCTTGTAGACCCTTACCAAGATTATTTCAAATTATAGCCCTTGGGTCAAAAATCGGCCCGCCCCGGGGTCATTTGATTTTCACTATATGTACTTATAGTAAAAACTTAAAACACCTTCTTGTAAAGACCCAAAAGGCCTAGAGCTTAGATATTTTGCATAAGACATTTGTCTGGTAAAGACCCTCTACCCAGATTGTTCAAATTAATAGCCTGGGGTCAAAATCGGCCCCGCCCGGGGTCATTGGTTTCCTTATATGTATATAGTAAAAACTTATAGTAAAAACTTAAAAAAAAAAAAATCTTCTAGCAATTGACAAATGCTAGAGGTTAGATATTTTGCATGAAACATTGTGTAATAAACCTCTAGCAAGATTGTTCAAATTATAGCCCTGGGGTCAAAATTGCCCCGCCCTGGGGGTCATTGATTTCAATATATACATATAGTAAAAAATAAAAAAATCTTATTGTCTGAAGGTAGAAGGCTTAGAGCTTTAATATTTGTTTAAATATATCATCTAAAGGTACTCTACAAAAGTTATTCAAATTTTGCCTCTTGTGTCAAAATTAGCCCCGCCCCTGGGGGCCATAGGTTTTCCTTATATGTATATAGTAAAAACTTAAAAAATCATCTTCTAAAATTTACAAGGCTAGAGTTAAGATATTTTGCATGAAACATTGTGTAGTGAACCTCTTGCAAATTGTTCAAATTATAGCCCTGGGGTCAAAATTGGTTCCGCCCCGGGGGTCATTGATTTTCATTATGTACATATAGTGAAAAAAATAAAATATTTTTGTCTGAAGGTACAAGGCATAGAGCTTTGATGTTGATATATAATATCATTTATAGGTCCTCTACCAAAGTTGTTCAAAATTTTTCCCCTGGGTCAAAATTGGCCCTGCCCTGGGGCAGTGATTCTCATTGTGTACACATAGTAAAACAGAAAATAAAACAAATGTTTTCTGAATGGGAGAAAGCTATAGCTTAGATATTTGACTTGAAATGTTGTTTGGTGGACCTGTATCAAAATTGTTTTGAATTAAACCCTTGGGTCAAAATTATGCCTTGCCCAAGGGGACAGTGACCTACTTCCTTGTCCTTTGATGTACAGCAACGACATTTTGACCATGTGCACAGTTTTAGTTGTAAAATTGAACTTTGATATCAAGTGACCTAGATTTTGATGATGTGACCTACTTTCTTGTCCTTTGATGTACAGCTATGAAATTTGAACCATGCGGTGGCATAGCATTTTTCTCAAATGCAATCTTGTTTTGAATGGAGATTGAATTTCTCACCAAAAGATGGGATGTGCAAAGTTAATTATATTAAGAGTCAGTGATGATTTATTTGACAAGTTGATAATGATTTATCTAAAAATTTGTTCAAGTTCAGGATGACCTGTTTGTTTAATGCAGATGCTTTAATGCATGCATCTTACTGGAAGGGCCAATTTCCTGTCTGAAGTGCTGGTCTGATTTACTATATGAATATATTTTTTTTGGTGTTCTTGCACTTTTTATCATTTTATATATGTATGTAAGACAAAGGGTATTATCTTGGAAGCAACAACTCTTGCATGAATATTTATGGAATTCAATTCTGTTAATGAGTTTTGCATCCAACTTCTTCCTCTTCATTCATTTAATCTTAAGATGATGACTTCAGGATTTTATTTGTTGGTTACTGACTCTAACATGGAATTTTACTCATAAATTCCCTTTTGTCCACTTAGGAAATTAATATCAATTGGGAAAAAACACTACATTGATTTAACTATTAAACGTTTATCACACTGACTGTTGTTTAACTTGTAAGTGGAATAATACATTTCAGAGCACTGGAGAAGAAGTTGCGGTGAAGGTTTTCAGCCAAGCTGGACACATGCGACCTCACGATGTTCAGATGCGAGAATTTGAGGTGATGACCAAACTTAAACATAAGAATATTGTACCCATGCTGGCTATTGAAGATGAGGTGAGTTTTCCTTGGTTAAAATTTATCAATTTTTATAAATTTTTAGATTGATTATTGGTAGTTTATCGGGAGCTATTTTACTTACCGGGTACATAGATATCAACAAAAATGCTCATAGATGAACTTTAATGATTGCATGATGTTGGTCTGGTCATCTATTGCGCACATTATCTACAATTTCTATGAACAACATCTCCTTCATAACTTACATGGTAGATTATGTTTCCAAACTCTGCAAGAATGATCTGTAGGTGGCCCTCTACAAAAGTTATATTTGAGGTACTTGCTGATACATGAGTTAGTAAATCATAAGAGCAAAAAATAGAAATCATTAAAAAAAAAAATGAAATCTTACCTCTGTATATAATTATGAGCCGCGTCATGACAATACCAACATAATGGGTTTGCGACCAGCATGGATCCAGACCAGCCTGCGCTTCCGCACAGTCTGATCAGGATCCATGCTGTTCGCTTACAAACCCTATAACAAGTAGAGAAACTGATAGCGAACAGCATGGATCCTGATCAGACTGCGCGGATGCTCAGGCTGGTCTGGATCCATGCTGGTCGCAAAACCACTATGTTGGTTTTGTCGTTACACGGCTCATATAACTTTGCATCCTTGACCTCAAATCATGTGAAATCCTGTATTTTGCCATTTCTATGTTTCAATGTCCTAATAAAAATGGAGTTAATGAAAGTTAAAAGGAGCCACCTTTGTGATTGTGTCTTATTATGCCATAGTAGCAGTTACACTAAATGATTCATGGAAATAAAGGACTGATCAAGCATTTTGTATTGAAATTGGTAGGTTTGCTTGTTAACATAAATTTTTATACTAATATGGAATTTAAAACACTTGCAAGTTATCTGTTCTCATGTAATGTTTATGACAATAATAAATATTTTAGAACCAGTACAAAAAGGTATTTCAGTGAGTCAATCATAGTGTAGAACAGTTAAATTAGAATACAATAAGATATTTAAAAGGTTATCTTTTCGAGCTATTTCAAAATATATCAGATCTTAAAACAGCACAATGTTTAGACTGGTTGACCTTTTCTATGCTTATAAAATGTGGATGGGATTGGTTTGTATGTCCGTTCATATGTAGTTTGTCATTTTTCTTGTCTGATCAATAACTTGACAAGGAATAAGCCCCTGGTTTATCTTTGTCACCTGATAGGGGCATTGCCCATAGCCAGTAAATGACCTTGGTAAAAGGTCAAGGTCACTGGCCTTGACTGACCAATAACTAGAGAACACTCTGACCTACTGTCCTATGATTTATAGAAGTTGGTCAAGACTAAGAAATAACCCCTAGGAGATTGAGGTCAGTATAGGTCAAAGGTCAATTATATTGATCTGAAGGTCATTAAGTAAATGTCACAGTGATACATTAAATACTTGTCACATCAAGAACAATAGTTTCCCCAGTCATACAGTTTGTGAAACTTCTTTGTTTTACATTTTTTGTTAAACTAGTATTACATGTTGATATATTACGCAGTACAGCAAATGAAGTGAAGTGCCCTGATACATTTCTTATTTAAAAGTACTTTACCACTGCTGTATATACATAGGGACATACAAAAACTTTTCCATATATCCGGAGTTCACTGATGGCATATATAGTGAATTATTTCCTTTTCTGATATGAAATGATTTTATAATGAGTCAAGGTGCGTATATAGTGAATTATTTCCTCATACGAAAAGATTTTATAATGAGTCAAGGTGCGTATATAGTGAATTATTTCCTCATACGAAAAGATTTTATAATGAGTCAAGGTATTGATAATAAACTAATTGTTCAGCATCATCATTGTTATAGAGGTGTAAAAAATTAGATTTGATGATTTGTTTTAGAAAGAGCATCGAAACATACAAGGCTATCTGATTTGTATGAGGAGCACGCCAGGCGTATAATCAGATTGCCAAGTTGTTTTGATGTTCTTTCTCTTTTGTATTATAGGTAAAAATAATAGCACGTTCCCTGTTGTCACATTATGAAACCCCAGAAATAAGGTACCAATGAACTAGCATGTGAATATGATATATTTCTCACTATATCTTTTTCTGTTGTCACAATATGTAAACCCCAGAAAAAAATGAGCCAATCAATGGTCATGCTCTGGAGTGTGGATAACTGATACCTGCACTCCAGTTAACGTAATGTGCATCATCACAGTATTGGTATAGGATTTTACCCTGGTATGTTTTCTATAGTAAAGTCTCCAAACTATGATACAACAGTGATATATTGCACCATGTAGACTATTTGCTGGTAGTCCAAATTTTAGAGATTGAAATCAATATGTAACATTCTGGGCTTTTCTCATAAAACTGATACTCTGAAACTTTTCCCTACTAAGTCTGGGGTACTGAACATACCTTAATTAACAATAACAAATAAGTAAATATAATGATATTAAGGGCAACACATTGATCACTCTATTGTAAAAGGTTACAAGCTATAATTGTAAAAGTTTATTTGGGGATCAGTTGGTAGAAAACCCATATTTGCTGAGTTCTGGATAATATATTGGGACTAAAAATTATGAGTTCCCTTTAACCCATTACGCGATATACACGCCTTTTTCACCTTCCCCCCCCCCCCCCTTTTTTTGTTGTCTCAAATGGTGAAAAAATGCCTTATTACGCCCCCCAACACTTGTTTTTGTTTGAGAAATGTTGTTAAAAAAAGTGACCACTTTTTCGGCGCAGCCCCCCCAACTAAAAGATACAGAAGGGGGATGTGCCCCCTTCTGTTTGGGGGGTTTGAAGGGGGGCGGCAAGAAAATTTTGGACTCGTGAGAGGCTAAAAATGACCCCAGATCGATCATAAGGTAACGTGTAACCAATGCTGGAAAGCATTTGACTATCTCAATCCATTGAGAGGTTGCAGCACTTTGAAGTCAATTTAGATGGAAAAAATCAACGCAAAATAATGATTTTTGGCAATTTTGAGATGCCCCCTCGTTGCCATGGTTACAGAAAATTTAAGCCTGAGCATGTTGTTGCAAAGGCAATGGTCCAGTCAACATTTGTGCCAAGTTTGATTAGTATGTAGCGGGAGACTTTTCAATGAAAACAGCCATTTTTCTATAAGGATATTTTTCATAACATTTGTTGACTGTCTTCTGTAAATCAGGTTTCTGGTTGTGTTAAAGATATAATACAGAGAGGCAAACCTTATAATTATGACAGAGTGAAAAATGCTTAAACTCTTTTTTCAGCAATCAACAAGGAATAAAGTTATTATAATGCAATTAACAGAGCATGGCTCCCTGTTTAACATGTTGGAAGACCCCAAAAATGCCTATGGACTCCCAGAGGAAGAGTTTCTCATTGTGTTTGAACATGTCAGTAAGTATCACATTGATGGCAAATTGCCATTTACAATTGTCTATAATTTAATTAATTTCCCTGTCAAGCATATAAACCCCAGTAATATTAATGACAAGAAAGTTTTCTGGCTCATTTTGGTCCTGCAGTATAAATGTTTTATTTACAGTATATGTTTGGTAGTGATAAGAACAGAGAACATTTATCAGATATTAATATATCCTCTGATTTTATTTATCTCTTGGATTTAAAAATCTTTTATTTTAAACATTTTTTATATGTTTGGAAAAGGAAAGAAAATTAGAAAATTCATTCTCAGATTTATTTTACCAATTGCAATTCATTCAAAATATATTTCTAAAAAATTATCGATATTTTACCACACCCATGACCTTTTAAAGAATCATTTATTCTCTTGAATATGGTAAGTCCCCAGATAGAGACAGTTTCACCTTAATCACCATATGAAACCATCGTTAAATGGTACAGCTTATGATAAAACATGTTAGTATTTTGTACACATATTATTTCATTCAATTAAGAGTTAAAGGGAATTGGTCAGTAATGGAAAGTCAGTGTCATACAATGAATAATTAATTTGAAAATAATAAATATTATGCATGATAACAAAACACGAAAGAATTATACATTGGCAAAATTGAGATACATGATCCGATATTACATACATTTCCATAGCTCTAGAACAAATATTACTATTCATCATAGATGTTCATTTTAAATCACTTCTGACTTTATCAACATCTTTTTTTTCAAGTCACAATTTATAAGAATGTCCACATGATACATTCCTATTGTTTTCATCAATACTTGAAATACACACTTAGTGTTATCTGTAAAATTGAAGGTCTTTTGAAGGTGATTAAGTTACACTTTATTCATCTCAACAGATAATGATTTATTATCCAATGTGTATCCATTGTTATCACTGTAAACTGTTTCTTTACCACATCCGCTCCGATTTTAACCACACTCACAGACAAGTAATACTTAAGTTGTTCTTCTCCAAAGTTGTATAAAAAGTTCAAGAATTACACTCATTGGTCTCAAACTTTATAAATGAAATCTTGCAAAAATTCTCTTGTCAGAACCTATAAGGCCAAAGCAAAAAAGGGTTATTTAACCCTGTCAAACATAACCTAGTGGGTCTTTAAAACAATATAAAACACAGAGCTGAAACTTGTAGGTTTGTAGCATATCCTAGTAGTTTTCTGGAAAATTTATAAATCATTGGTCTTGAAACTATTTTTTGCACAATTTATTATGTTTCTTTTTTTTTACCCTTGTTAAGCTTTTTATGTGAACTTTCATTTCTCAAAATTAACTCATTAAAAACTCATTCAAAATTTAAAACTCATTAAACTTATACCTAATCAAAATTAGAGTTTTAAAAGGGAAGGTAACTTTGTTTTTCATTTTTGCTTACACATGCTTATTTTTGCTTAGATATGCTTGTTTCGTAAATTATTATGTCAAGGTTCATTTTGGTTCATTTATAAAAGCTCACATTGAAATTCAGTTTTTACTTGTTAGCAAACAAATTTACTTTTAAAGAAACTTTGTTTATTATGTATATTAGAATGCATTTATAAAGGGTATTTTATTTTCAGCTGCAGGAATGAAGTACATGAGAGACAGTGGCATTGTGCACCGGGATATAAAACCCGGAAATATTCTCCGCTATATTGGAGAAGACGGAAGGTAATAATTGTATTATATATTTTCTTATTGTAAAACTATAACACTATAATGAATCATCTTTTATCAGATGTACTGAATCATTAACAATATTTACACTCAGCATAAAAAAACTTTACATGGACTTAAAATATAGGTGTATTCAAATAAATCTAATTACATTTTATTGTGCCCCCACTTTAGTGGCGGGCATTTAGATTTTCCCTTGTCCGTCCTTCCGTCCGTCCATTCTCTTTTGTGTCGCATGTAACTCAAAAAGTATTTGACCTAGAGTCATGAAACTTTACTGGAGTGTTGATCAGCATGTGGAGTTGTGCACCTGGGTATTTTCATCTGGATATTTTTAGTATTTTTAGAGTTATTGCCCATGACTTAGTAAAATTTTGCAATTTTCAACTTGTGTCGCATGTAACTCAAAAAGTATTTGACCTAGAGTCATGAAACTTTACAGCAATGTTGATCAGCATATGTAGTTGTGCACCTGGGTATTTTCGTGTGTATTTATTTATTTAGTATTTTTAGAGTTATTGCCCTTGACTTAGTAAAATTTTGCAATTTTCAACTTGTGTCGCATGTAACTCAAAAAGTGTTTGACCTAGAGTCATGAAACTTTACAGGAATATTGATCAGCATGTGTAGTTGTGCACCTGGGTATTTTCATCTGGATATTTTTAGTATTTTTAGAGTTATTGCCCTTGACTTAGTAAAATTTTGCAATTTTCAACTTGTGTCACATGTAACTCAAAAAGTATTTGACCTAGAGTCATGAAACTTTACAGCAATGTTGATCAGCATATGTAGTTGTGCACCTGGGTATTTTCGTGTGTATTTATTTATTTAGTATTTTTAGAGTTATTGCCCTTGACTTAGTAAAATTTTGCAATTTTCAACTTGTGTCGCATGTAACTCAAAAAGTATTTGACCTAGAGTCATGAAACTTTACAGGAATATTGATCAGCATGTGTAGTTGTGCACCTGGGTATTTTTGTCTGGATTTATTTAGTATTTTTAGAGTTATTGCCCTTGACTTAGAAAATTTTTGCAATTTTCAACTTGTGTCGCATGTAACTCAAAAAGGATTTGACATAGAGTCATTAAACCTTACGGGAAGGTTGCTCAGCATATTTAGTTTTGCAACTCGGGTTTCGCTTGTGGATTTATCCAGTATTTGTAGAGTTTGACTTAGTAAAAACCGTTATTTTATGTTGTTATTTGTTGCTTGAGTTAGAATCAACCAACTTTACAAGAATAATGATCAACATCACTAAATTACAGGAATAATGATTCACATCACTGTGAAGGTATGCACCTTGGACTTTGCATGTGGATTTTTTCAGTTTTGTTGAGTTATTGCCCTTGACTTACTGTAGTATAAATTTGCAATTTTCAACTTGTTCATGCATAGCTCAAAAAGTATTTCACTTGTAGGCCTGAAAGTTTACAAGAATGTTGGTCAACATGTGTACTTATGCACCTTTGCTTGTGGATTTATTCAGTATTTGTAAAGTTCTTTCCCTTTACTTAGTAACAGATTTTTAGTTTTCAAAAAATATTTGACCTAGAGTCATAAGATTGACAGAACAGTGGCGCAGTGGGGGCACCCGTGTCCTATGGACACATTTCTAGTTTCTTAAGATATTGCTTCGATTTGCTCACATTTTTGTCGATCTAACCAAAAAGAACAATTTATACACTAAAATATTCTGACATAGGGGCCTAAATAAAAAATGCAGGAATGAAAGATGATAATAAACAAGACTTTTGAGGTTCTGATTCTTTGAATTAAAACTAAACAACTCAGTAGCTGGCAATACACGCTCGAATTCTGTGACCTCCTCATGGAGTGAAGGTAACTTTTGATTAAGCCGTTAGGCAGGGTCTACCATTCCACCTGCAGTGCCCATAGGAGGTTGTTAACATTGTCTATCTGGTGATTTGTCCTTACTCTTCTCCCAAGTTCATTCCAGATATGTTCAATGGGATTCATATTGGGGGAGACAGTGGGCCAGGGCAAGACATTAATATGGTTGCGAGCTAGAAAATTGGCCGTTAATCAGGCGTGTGGTCTTACATTGTCTTGCTGGAAAGTTCAGCCAGGACCATGAGTCTGCATGAATGGTAACAGAGTGTTTGCAAGAATATGCACATAACTCTGTGCTGTAAGGTTGCCAAGCACATCCACAAGCTCTGTTTTTCGGTCCCCCATAATCCCTCCTCATACCATCCAACTTCACCCACCAAACCATTCCTTTTCCGGATGCAACATTGTGTGTAACGTTCATATCTGGGACGATAGATTTGCACCCTGCCGTCAGCATGACTTACTCTTAAGCAAGATTCTTCGCTGAAAGTAAGCCAACCCCACTGTTTTCGCTGTGCCCAGGCTAACCTGGATACCTTATGACGGGGTCTCAGTATCTGACCAGTATTTATGGTCTCCGGGCAAGAATTGGAATGTTGGATTGCATAAGGCTATTTCGGAGCAGTAACTGTAGCAAGCAAAACCGGCTGCAAAGGCGATTCAGCCTAATGACATGGTCTTCCCTTACTGACGTCGCACTAGATGCACCAAATCTGATGAATGGATCCAGTGTTACCGAACTGTGTACTAAGATAATGAATTGTTTGCCTAGAGCAGCCAAAATGCTGTGCAACATCCATAACCCTAGCACCCACTTGCAGCAACCCATTAGCCTGATTACGTTAAGAGCCATGGCTTAGCTGCTGAAAGTCTTAAGATTGATATGCAAGTTATTACTTGAAATGTAAATACATGTATGTTGTTTTTTTTTCTCAAGTACATTGATTTTTTCTTAAGGTTTTTCTTGGAAAAATGTTTTTCATCTTGAGGCATGCAGCTTTAAGAATTGGTGATAAAAAATAAATGTTAAACATGAAACATGACCTATGATACTACATATATAAATTAATGTAGCTTTGTCAAAGATAAAAAAAAGATTTGTGACTATTATAAAGTCAAACAAAATAGATTTCTTACATATTAACTTTTTTTTTGCAATGGAAAATTTCAGAATTGACAGAAAAATCCTAGGAAATTTCCACTGTAAGTTTAGAATATTTGGGAAATTTCCATTATTACATTAGCACATATGTAGTCATTGTGCATGTATAATTATGACTTTGTATTTATTTTGAAGTTGTTGTTTGTAAGGAAACCTTTAAATTTTACTTTTTAACATGAAGCATTTAGTTAATGATATTTATTTCATTTTATGATATAAATTTCACTAGTATTCAATAGCTATAGATTTTGGACAATTTCCAAAAGAAAACATAGATATGATGCAATAATTCAATGAGTCATCCAGCTGATTTAGAATGGGGCTATAGGCTCAAACTGACTGTCTGGGCCACCTTAAAACATAGAATGTTTGTGGAAAAAAACAACAAGAAAAATGGATTGCCTCAGAAGAATTTTCATGACAACCCGCGTGAAAAGGCATTCTGATTGTATAATATATTGTATTTACTGAAAGGGATGAAGTGATGAAATCAAGCTTATAATTATTTGAAAGACTTCATAAACTGAATTTGTATACATAAATTTGATATGTATGAAAACACATGACAGTCCCTTATTACTGGGGAGATTCTTAAAGAATAGAATGGTTGGTTACATGAAAAAAAAAAGAAATCTTGAATCTTATCTTGATTCAGCATTATTAAAAATTTAAAAATTACGAATATGATAGTGTAGCAATGAATAAAACTTGAAAAGATATATACCCGGTGGTATATTAGATAGACAGCTGTTTGTCAATAGGTCAAATGATCTAAGTGTTTGTTTGCATAATGAGGGTGATATAAGACTCTTAAACTTTGAATGTTTTTTATGAATGGGTGTTGAGACATTGCCAATCACAATTTTTTTTTTTGCTAATTGAATGTCTTCAAACTTGAAAGGACAATGTCTTAAAATAGATCAAACTCATTTTGATCTTGACTCGGAAGTGACATTGACATTGAGGTCAAATTATTTTTATTTTACAGTTTTTAGCTCACCTGAAAATAAAGTGTGTCTGTTATACAAATGACTTCTTCTAAGAAACCACTGGGACAAATTTGATGTGCAGCTCTTAGTGGTGATAATTAAATTTCCAGGGAGTATTATCCAAAAATATGAATTTTGAGCAAAAAGAAGGCTACTGTTTTGTGTAGCAGCCAATGAGAATCCAGATGTACAGTAACCCGAGAATATATGAAAAGGAGGTAGCCTTGAAAAGGGCCTGCCTTTCAAGCAAGCACCCTAGCTCACTTTCTTTGTCGTCCCTGCTACCAAGCCACAAATCCTGCAAATTTTCTGTGACCTGCATGCATTGAGGGGGGAAAAGAAGGGTTTGGAATCCGAGAAAAAATGTCTGTCATCAATATTGGGAAGGGTTTATTTACCAGACTCAAACAAAAAAAGAAAATATTGCTGATAATGACATAGTGAACAGTTTCTGTCATACCACAGTTGTTAAACTTGTTGTATCCCCTGCAACCCCATGATGTATCTTTTGGATAGGGGGCTGTGCCAAAAAGTGGTCACTTTTTCAAACAACATTCTCAAACAAAAACAAGTGTTGGGTGCCTAAATAAGACATTTTTCACCATTTGAAGCAACAAAAAGGGGGGTTGAAAAAGGCGTAAAAAGGCATTTATATCTGGTAATGGGTTAATTGTACTTAATATTTAAGATTGTAATGTTAAACATGACCTATGTAACTATGTCTATAAATGAAAGTATCTTTGTCGTTTTATACAAAGAAAAATGGTATGTGAAAATAAGACCATACAAGGAAGCTGTCAAAAAAATGAAAATAGAGTGCATGAAAATATTTTGTATTTAAAGGAAAATTTTGGAAAAAAATTGGAAATATTGCTTGCAATAATATGTATGAAAGGAAAATTTCAGAAAAAGATGGCTTGCAAATAAGTTGTAAACAAAGGAAAATTTTGGAAAAATCATAGGAAATTTCCACTGTTAGATTAAAATGTTT